AAGGGCATCTTTCTTAGTATCGTCTACATAGCAATGGATGCCACTAGTTTGGAACATGTCATTGATATGCAGAAGAAACAGTGTGGGTGATAGGACACAGCATTGCGGGACACAAGCAGTTTCGGATTTCAAATCGGAGCATGCACCGTCTACAACGACCTTAATGTTTCTGTCAAGGAAGGTCTGTCAAGGAAACTGGTGATCTATGTAAACAATTTCTCAGGAAGCCCGAACGAACATTTTATTATCTACTTCTTTCGTGTATTTCTTTTGCTTTAACTAGACTTGTAGAGTTGTTTTATGGTATTGTAAAATGAAAACTGCATTGATGCGGTTCAATGAAACTAATATCATTATAAAAGTTTCATTGAACCGGATCAAGGCAGTTTCCTCGAAATAAATTCTTACTAACCGTTCCCGCGGCTCTGCCCTCCTTGTGTATATCTATTACTTAAATAATGTATAACTTGTGTTACAATTTTATAAAGAATCTCTGCTAGAAGAAGCTTATGGTGAACGATTACTATCGATTAGTACTATAAGCCAACAAAGTTTTCCTCTTTAGTATAATATTAGTATAAGCCACCGATTATTTAAGAAATAACCAAAGGTATAAACTACATATTTTGGACAACTACGTGGTATTACGATTGTTGAAGGAGTTTTTTCACAATTTTGATGCGAAAAAATTGTTACAGTTAGAGCCGCGGTAGCGCACTACGTCCGATCCGAATCCGATAAAATACGGTCCAAAGTAGTCGAAGAATTATTTATATGGTAGCTTACGCACTAGATCCGGCTTCCGTCATCCGATTTCTTTCCGTTATCCGTGAATCTCCATTCCGAACAAGATGTATAATAAATACTAATAGTCAGTCAATTCCTTTGATAGACCGCTAAATACCTACAAGACTGTCTTCACTAAAAATGTGCAAGAGTTGTCACAAAAATGATAACGATCGTAGGTAGCTAGGTAAACATAGTATTTGCCTAATTTAACTACAAATATTTTAGCTAATATCCGTGTGGTGACGGATTAAGAATACAGAGTGTCACCACCCCTATTCATCCCGAGGGTGTCGTAAGAGCCGACTAAGGGAGTAAACTACGCAGAACCACCACACTGCAAAGAGAAGGAAAACTTGAAACAAACCCTATACCAACCCGTCTGGCCAGCGTGGTATAGTAGGCCAAAACCTCCTTTCTGAGGAGAGGCCTATGTCCAGCAGTGGACTAGTAAAGGCTGTTGATGATTTTAGCTAAATAGCAGTATCTCATGATGACGTGAACGCTCTGCCGTGGCTCCACATGAAATAACGTATGTCAAAAGCTAATAGTATTTCGGACATCTAACACACAAAAGCAAACTAAGCAGAGCTTATATTATGAAAGCTAGATTGACTGATGGAATAATTTTAAACTTTTTTTTGTAAATACATACATGCCATACACAGAAAACACACAAACTCCGAAACAAATATTTGCAGATCATACAAACATACCGACTCAGGAATCAAAGCCAAAATAAGATGAACTATCGGTAAATCAATGATTATAAATATTTGTCAATTTTTATTAACTATTATATTATATTTTATCATTTTTTTCCTAACTTATCCACTTTTTATTCAGTATTAATTTATTTAACAACACTTACCTGCCCATGTAATTGCAGAATTGTTAATGAAAATATAGGAATTATATTTGAATTTTAACCTAATTAATATTAATAACTTCTTACATGATGAAAAAAAAAACAAATAAATTATGAATTAATCTTTTTATTAAAAAATATCATTGAATACATTTATTTTTATTGAAAGTAAAAAAATGGAATAAAGGTTACAAAAACTACAATTTATAATTTTAATCATCTTCTTCCTCTTCATCGTCGTCTTCTGGCTGCTGGTAAATTTCAAACTGGTCTTCATTATCGTCTTCAACGACATTTGTCTCAAGTTCTTCCATGATTTCGGGGTCAAAGGTTCCATCTTCGTTAATGTCGCTCTGATATGGTAGAGCATTGAGACAAGCTTGCCCATTACATTGGCCACAAGCTAAAGAGCATTGCCCGCTTTCCTGCATCCGCATCGCGAACCACAACCACTCTTGCAGTTGCAGAAAATTGTATTTAGCAAATCTTCTGGAGCAGGTGGTAAAATGGTCTTGATAGGCTCCAGAAAATCATTTCGCATTGTCCAACCCCATACCTGGGGTTCCAAATCATGTCCTAACCAAGTTTGAACTTGATAATATACACGGTTGAAATGTTGATGAGCAGCTGCACTTGTTGGTGGAATATATGAAAGCTGCACAGGTTTATTAAGTTTTGTAGACTTGACGTAATGCATATAACGAAGATGATCGAGACTTTTCACCGATTTCGGAGCATTATAGACTGCAAATAAGGTTTGAGTTCCACTCTCTAATAATCTCTGGGAAGAACAATTTTTATTTATAATCATTGATTTATCGATAGTTCATCAACTATTTCGTTGGCGCGTTTTCGACCGGAGGCACCGGTTGACCTGAAGTGATGCTGTGACCGCGCGCTCTCCGCCCTCTATCTCGAAAACGGTTCACCGTATAAAAAAAATATTTAAACAAAAGTTGCAGAGAATTTCGTATTCTACAATATTGATAATGAATACAAATAGCAGAAACCCATAGGAAATGAGATATTTCCAAAAAAAGCGCAATAAACCGATTTTTGTGACTTTGGACCTTGAAATTTAATAGTTGCTTACACCCTATCATATGTAGGTTTTGAGACAACTTTTAGGGTATCAATATACAAGTATTTACAGAGTTACAGCTGGGTATCTCGAATTCCGAGGTGAACTTACTATAATGACTGGACTAATAAACAATTTCTCGGGAAGCCCGAAGGCACATTTTATTATCTACTTCTTTCGTGTATTTCTTTTGCTTTAACCTAGACTTGTAGAGTTGTTTTATGGTATTGTAAAATGAAAACTGCATTGATGCGGTTCAATGAAACTAATATCATTATAAAAGTTTCATTGAACCGGATCAAGGCAGTTTCCTCGAAATAAATTCTTACTAACCGTTCCCGCGGCTCTGCCCTCCTTGTGTATATCTATTACTTAAATAATGTATAACTTGTGTTACAATTTTATAAAGAATCTCTGCTAGAAGAAGCTTATGGTGAACGATTACTATCGATTAGTACTATAAGCCAACAAAGTTTTCCTCTTTAGTATAATATTAGTATAAGCCACCGATTATTTAAGAAATAACCAAAGGTATAAACTACATATTTTGGACAACTACGTGGTATTACGATTGTTGAAGGAGTTTTTTCACAATTTTGATGCGAAAAAATTGTTACAGTTAGAGCCGCGGTAGCGCACTACGTCCGATCCGAATCCGATAAAATACGGTCCAAAGTAGTCGAAGAATTATTTATATGGTAGCTTACGCACTAGATCCGGCTTCCGTCATCCGATTTCTTTCCGTTATCCGTGAATCTCCATTCCGAACAAGATGTATAATAAATACTAATAGTCAGTCAATTCCTTTGATAGACCGCTAAATACCTACAAGACTGTCTTCACTAAAAATGTGCAAGAGTTGTCACAAAAATGATAACGATCGTAGGTAGCTAGGTAAACATAGTATTTGCCTAATTTAACTACAAATATTTTAGCTAATATCCGTGTGGTGACGGATTAAGAATACAGAGTGTCACCACCCCTATTCATCCCGAGGGTGTCGTAAGAGCCGACTAAGGGAGTAAACTACGCAGAACCACCACACTGCAAAGAGAAGGAAAACTTGAAACAAACCCTATACCAACCCGTCTGGCCAGCGTGGTATAGTAGGCCAAAACCTCCTTTCTGAGGAGAGGCCTATGTCCAGCAGTGGACTAGTAAAGGCTGTTGATGATTTTAGCTAAATAGCAGTATCTCATGATGACGTGAACGCTCTGCCGTGGCTCCACATGAAATAACGTATGTCAAAAGCTAATAGTATTTCGGACATCTAACACACAAAAGCAAACTAAGCAGAGCTTATATTATGAAAGCTAGATTGACTGATGGAATAATTTTAAACTTTTTTTTGTAAATACATACATGCCATACACAGAAAACACACAAACTCCGAAACAAATATTTGCAGATCATACAAACATACCGACTCAGGAATCAAAGCCAAAAAGCAATGTGAAAAGTGAAAAGCAATATCCGAGTTCAGTCCGAGAATTTTATCTCTCTATCTGTCTCTTATTTTTTTTAATAGAAAAACAGTTCCTAAAAGATTTTAACAAATTTGAAATGTTCTTAATTGAAAAATAATTTGATATCAGAACTTTATGCTAGAACTTGAACTGAGTTGCGACATTTCATGTTATGTTTTCGATGCGATTATCTTATAACTATATATATATATATCTCACTAAATTAAATTTGGTATATGGATACTTTCGTGGTACGAGTATTTCCATGCTAACCTTGACTTCATGCTGCAGCCAAACTTTGGGTTGATGCTGATGTCAGTAATGATCTGTATTATCTCTATTTTCAATTTATTACCTTTTCATTTTTTTGAAGTTATTAAGATGAGCTTTAGATTGTCGTCAATATTTTAATGAATTACGGTTATAACGTATTCGACATCAGGCTAATTAAATAAACGTAAATATTAATATTTTATTTTTTAATAAATCAAGTATTTTTCACAAATATACTGACTTTATGGCACTTTTTCTAAATTACAAGTTGGTAATGTAACCCACATACCTACTAGGACTTAACCTCTGCAACCAGCTCCAACTGTTTAATCAGAGGGGTTAGTAGACTGGAGGACTTCATGAGTACTGCTCCTGTTATTAAGGCCGTGTAAATAAATAAATAAATATAACAAAAATAAACTGAAGGACGATAGTAAATACAGTAAAAAGTCTTCGCTCAAAGTCATCTGGGGTTAAGTGTCACGCGGAGTTATCACCTAGTGGGGACGCGGCTTTAGATTTTTTCTTATGATGAGTATGTGCCTGCGAACAGGATTTTGTCCTCGTGCAGGATCGCGTACAGGAATGGATGGTCCACTGTGAACTTCATAGGTGGTGGTGGTGTTGAGAGAGCAGAAATTGTAATCATAACCAAACCTGTAAAAGATAGTTTAAAAGTTAAATACAGGGATGTAAAACTTGTGTTCTTATTTCCTGTTTCTAATAATGAAAATGATTTCAATACGACGTGCATTCCTTATTTTCCCCCTTAGAGGTGAAATTGCCAAAATTCCTTCTTCTTTAATAACATAATAAGCATCAGCTGCTGAAATTTTAATTTTGTAGTCCCAGCGGTTGATAAATCAGTCGGTCTAGGCAAGTATTTTACTCGTATATGTATAGATATGAAAACTGATAAGTATATATAAATAATATTAAACCGGTACAGGTACAGACGGCTGTTTTGTTCCTCTAACACAACGGAACGATTCACCTACCAGTCACCACTCAATTCTGCTATTTTATGTTAACGCCAAGCCAGTGCCATTCCATTAAGGTGCCATTGAGACGCCATTGACATCGGTCAAAATATCAGTAATTTACTAACATAAGTTCACAGTGTCATAGACTGTTCGATATAGTGGTCATCAATGGTGATATCACCAATATTACCAGGCCTGGCAAATTAAATATATCATTTTCTTACAAATTTAAAATGTACCGTTTACCAAAGTATTAGAAAGACATCGACGACATTTGTATCAGTGACAAGTCATCGGGAGGCCATTGATCTTACATAGTTAGTAGAATAGGAAAAGTGCAAAACCATTAAGATGACATTCCATCGACAGGCTATTGATACAATATTAAAATAGCAGAATTGAGGTCCAGGCGAGGTGATCATGCCACACGGGCCACGAAGTTGTAAGTATATGTATATCGAATCGGAGCAAGAACTTCCATTGTGCGTTGCAGGATTAGTGGTTATTACATGGTTCGCCGTCTTCATTAGTTGGTAACTATGTTTTCGTTGAAGTGCTGCAATAATGTTTCTTTTTTCCTTCTTTTATTTTGTTACATACTGATAAAAAATAACAAACCAGTGAATGCCCCCGCTGTAGCTCCTTCTTCATCCACTTTGATGAAAGCTTCTTGGAATGCCTTCGACACCTTGACTGGAGCGTTTACAATACCTGGAGCAAATTCGGCGAACATTTTACTTACACCAACCTGAAAACAAAAAACTATGTGAATGCTCCGAAATATGTCCTAGTGAAAAGTGGCAAAAGTCGGGCATATTCTTGCCACATACACAAATACACAACATGCGAAACGCGCCATGACATTATCTCAAATCAAATGAAGTAAGTAAACTACAAATTTTCGAATATTTTATTCCTGCCTTGCATTTTACTAAATTATTACAAACATATTAATAATTATTTTGTTTTGCAGCGGTAGCGGCTTTTGTAAAGACAGAAATATAAATTTACTAAGAGTAAGATCTTCCACGATAAGATAGTTCACGAATACCGAATATTGTTCTACGGAATTACGGAATTTTAAAGACATCGATGTCAGATGTCGATTCTATCCGCACTCTCTTTCTCACTCTTTTTAAGTTTATCAAAATTTCAATAATAGCTAGGTATTATCACCAGTCACTTACTCTTTAGTAAAGAGCAATGAAAGAACTGTGTAGTACTGGTTTTCTGTGAGATCGTAGCATCTATCGTGGACTGTGGTACTGTGTGGAAGAGCCGCGAAGCAAGTATACGATAATTTTAAATAATACCTTTGGCAAGATATCATTGAAGTCAATTTTGGTGTTGATTTCAAACTTGGGCATATCGAGGTCTACTTCGCAACCAGCCGGGCTCAGCCTGAACACATCCGAAAGGAGTCCCTTCTCCGCCGCCTTCTCCAGCACCGACGGTAGACCGTCCACTTCGTTCGGGAGCACCACTACCATGCGAAAACCTGTCTCCTTGTAAGGCAGTTCAATCATCTGTGGGAATGTCATCATTGTAATGTACCGTATATTTAATTATTTTAAGGAGCTATGCATTTGCTAGTACGATGTCACTCTCTCTCGTACTCTTTGCAGATACTCACGAGTTTAATATTTAAGATTGGTCAATAATAACATACTTGTTGTCAATAATAATATACTAGTTGTCTTTAAAAAAAAAAAAGAAAAAAAAACCTATTCGTATGTAACGCATTGGAACCCCACGAAACTTTAAAAGTACACCTTAAATCTTATTTTTAACTAAAGAAGTTTACTGTTTAGAATTACTACGAATGAGATTTAATTCCTTAAAGGTTGTTGCACACCACATACTTACACTGCGCTCAAGTAACTAAAGTAACTAAGTAACTGTTTTCGTAAACTGCAAGTGTGGCGTGGCATCGCGTGCTTGCGCTATTTGAATTTCGAATTTGCGGTGGCAATTGGCGGTGGTAATTAAAAAATGGTCACCATTTTTTTATTTTTTATTTTGTTTCGAAATTCACCTTAGCTCCGAGTTGTTCACTCTCTGCGTAGTACAGAGATTGAAACAGATGCATCATCGGTTTTTTGACGACACTATCGCGGCTCACGTGGAAGTCTTTATCCTTTGTCTCTTCTGCTTTGAAGGGAACGTGCCAGTGACCCTGAATATTAAAAGCAATTCTTATAGAATAACCCATATTGATTCGTCTTCATAAAAGGGTCACTGTAACAATAGGTTACTTTTTCACAATGAAAGAAAAACAGACAAATTATTACCATGAAATACAATCGTTCTTAGTTAGTTGGTAAATAATAAAAGCCAAGGATTTCATTACATTACAAGACACTTACATTAAAGTATATGACGTTGTAAAGTACGGCGGCTACATCAGGACCCAACGAATCCTTGCTAACTGGTTCTGTGATGTGGCCTTTAGTCTTTTCAGCTGCCTGTTTAACAAAAAAACAAATTTATGACGTATCCCGCAGTCAAGGCGTAAATCTAAATACTCTTTTACTGCGTTCAAACCTTAAGCTATATTATTAATCTGTATATGTATTTATCTATTAATCAAAGATACATAAACCACACAGATACAAGGTACATTACAAAAACACTTACGTAATTAAACATTTATGCACAATGTGTAGCAAAGGTTACCAGCTCAGTTCACACTTTGCTGTAGCACAGCTCTCAGTAAATCTGGTTTCTTTTTTAGAGTTCTTGACAGAAATAATAAATAGTGACGCATCAATCAAACCCCGCCCCCTAACTAATCAGGTACCAAGAAATTATCGTTTAGTACGAAAGCTTGGAGTCTGATTGCTCAGGGTTGGTTAAGCTTAATCAATTCGTCACTATTTTCTTAACGCGAATTTACTGTAAAACATTTTTGTAACAACAATACAATAGACGAATATGGTCAAATGACAGCCTTATCGCTACAGAGCAGTCTTTTACAGGCAGCCTTTGGATGGACAACGATTTCATGGGTAGTTCTAGTGTGAAAATGTGTAAATAATAATTTTTTATACCCATCTGTTGATGGCAGCAGCTGCTTCCGCAGGTTTACCAAAGTCGAGCGTGTCGAATTCACAGAGATAATCCCGAGCGTCTGCAGCAAAACTTTTGTTCAAGGTGTACCTGTTTGAGACGGAGATCTTGTCCGCAAAAGTCAGGTGGTCTGGGTTCAACTCGGAGTACATCAATGTCAACCGTTTGAACAAGTCTGACGTCTGGAAATAAAAACATTAAATAATGTTCTCGGGTGTCACCACCCTTATTAATCTAAGCCGACTAAGGGAGCACATTACGCAGGACAACAGCACTGCAAAAAGAAGGAAATCCTGAAACAAACCATAGTGTTTGTTGGTATAGACTAACCCGTCTGCCCAGTGTGGTATAATAGGCCAAAACCTCCTTTCTTCTAAAGAGAGGCGTATGAATAGGCCTATAGATTCATGTATGTAATTCAATCATACATATATCGAATCCGCAATATTGCAGTTGAATGTACTGCTGACACACAATCCTGTTATGGGCAAAGAGCTTAGAAATATAAAGGAAGCGAACAAAGCGCTATCACATACGATCGGTAGACAGAGAAAGAAGACTGTTTTGGTTTTGCATCTTTCTCGGCTCTTGTCACTGATTGGCTATTTTAAATGCCTTCTTAAGTATCAGCCAATCAGTGCTGAGAGGAAAGAGAGATGCAAGGCTAAAACAATATTCTTTCTCTGTCTAACGGCCGTACGCTACCACTTATAGATTAATATACAGTTCGCTCCCTCTATAATATTATCTCAATTTTTCTTGCTCGTCAAATAAAATGATTGTTTAGTTTAGAATTAAGTAGATAACATCCGGTTCTACGCGGGAACCACCACAGAAATAATAATATATAATATAATATATTTTACCACATACACACAACGCCATCTAGTCCCAAACTAAGCAGAGCTTGTACTATGGGTACTAGACAACTGATATAAATACATATATACTTGTTTTTTTTTGTAAATACATACATATTATACATAGAAACACCCAGACCAAATCAAACATCAAATGTTTATGCACACAAATGTTTGACTTGAGCGGGAATCGAACCCGCGACCTTTGAAATAGCAGTCCGTTTTACAAACCACTACGCCATCCAGTCGTCTATTTCCTACCTAAGTGAATGTAGCAAAACTTTTAAATGCCTATAGAATATTCTGTTTTTATCCTGTGGTAACACCTAGAGGGTGATGTCCCTAACCGAAACTTAACAATGTGAACCGCCTGTACTACCTAGCTGTAGAACATATTGCTTTAATAAATTGACAATTGATTCTTCGTTATTTTTAAGTTAGAATTTAATACGGTTGTTAAAACAAGGTATTTTTTTTTAAATCCTTGTGAATAATATGTCACGTGCTGGTTTAAATAATATATTAAAACGATAATCACCGATAAAATATTATTAAATACAATGATATCATGAATTATAACTACTTCTGCACGAGAAAAAATATGATTTTTAAGCTCAATTTTGACAATATTTTTTGTAGTACCCATAACAACTTATCAAAAGGCGCCCGTATTATTTGTTACATAAAGTAAGGCATAAAAATGTTCATACCTTCCTAGCATCGGTTCCTCCTAAGAATTTGGTGATTTCGGCCTGTGTTTCCGGCCCAGCGCCCAAGTTGAACAATGATAGCAGAGTCATGAGGCCCAGTGGTGATGACACTACATTCTTGTCTTCTGCCGCTTCGTATGTAGCCTGAAAATAATAAATATAATCAGATTTCAAGAACCGCCTTCTTTCCAAGCCCTTTTAGATGTACAACACCGATTAGAAAGAGCCAAATTAGGTACTGCAATATGAGATAGGGTCGCAAAGTCGTTATTGGGCCCATTGGCGGGGGGAAGGGCCTGGTAGGGCGCAGTGTCGATTAGGCGTAACCAGAAATTATATGGTTTGGGGCTTTCCCACATTGGAGCGCCAAGCTCCTAAACTTTACAGTACATACATATAAAATACAAAGAAAAGGAAGTTTTAGAATTCGTCCATAGGTAGTTGCAGAGGTTATCGCTTCTATTTGTGAAACAGTAAACCACGCGTCACCTAGGTACATAGAAACGCGGATTGCCGGTTTTTGTACTAATAGTCAAACTTCAGTTTATTAGTTAGACATACTTAAATTCCTACAACAAAGGCAATAGGGGCGCTAGTTATTTAAAAATAAATACCGATAGTACTTTTGTTCCTAGCTGCAATATCAAGTCCCATCATATCGTATCATAACAACAAGTTGACCCCGGGTCTGTTCAATCGCGGATAGGTACTTTGGCTTTACATATTGACAAACACTTTTGACATTATAATGATACGCTTATACTTTGTAGAGTTATCGAGCTGATAAAACCATATACAACTATTCTTGTAAGGTTCACGTACTCAATACAAACAAAATCATTTTACAATCTGACTCTGGGTACACCTTTTTAGGTAGGTACTTAGCTATTTACTCGCGTACTCGATAGTCGACAGGAATATGCTTACTATTATCGCCATCAGGCCCCCAAGCTTATGAGGAAAATGGCTGCACGTTAATGGCTCAAGCACAATATTGGGGCTGACACCTCCTATAGGGGGTTTTACGGTGGGTTCGTGCAGTCCATGGCCTTATATGGGACTCTTATGTGAGCGGAGACCCTAATGGCCCTCAATGAAACCAATATTGCCACATATATAAAAAATACACTTTTTGTCCTGCGTTTTACTTGAGTTAAATTTCTCCCTAGTCCATTTATTTTCTTTTCATGAAGATTTCTTGTTAAATGAAGATTTTTGTATGTGATGTGAAACTGTCATTATTAATTACATTGGGTTTTATACTCGTATACACATACACTAAATGGTACAAGTTTTGCGACCATAAATTATAACAGGAGTAATGGTTCATTAAAAAAAGTTTAGCGTCCATGAAAACTTACTTTCTTCTTCTTACTTAATAATTCTTAAGATCGTACACATTGAGCCAACGTACTAAACCAGCATATTAAGCCAACGTATGGAGATTTACTTAGGGGTATAAATGATAAATGAATCATATAAGTCGGGCCTTCTTTAACCTATTCACATTTTTTAATTTGTCGTATTTTAAGAAATAAAAAAAAAAAACATCAAATAGATTCTTATTCAGTAAGTACCTTTAGGACTTTCATTGTAGATACATCTATACTATCGCCAAGAGGTGTTCTCTTGTAGCTTGGCGGCCAGACGAACGGGTCCGCCGTGATGCTGCTGACGCAGTAAAATACTAAAAACAATCGGTAATAAATTTTATCTTAAGAAAAAATAAGTTGTTTTTTGGATTAATTTGAATACGTATTGCTAAACCATACTTACTACATAAAAGAATTTATTTTTTGGTTGAACGCTTTAATCTGAACTACAAGTCGTGATTTGAATAACTTCTTTTAGTTTGTGCGCGTAAGTGTGCATTTACATTGGAGTGTGCGTGTGTGTGGTCGTGTGAGTGTGCGTGTGTGTGGTCGTGTGAGTGTCATGTGTGTGGTCGTGTGCATTTGCATGGGAGTGTGCCGGTGTCTGTGCGTGCGTGTCATTGCATGGGGATTCAAGTTGCGGAAATATGTTTCGAAACGAACTATTGAATAAAATATACGTAGATAATATTAGAGTCGTATTCCATACTAAAGACGTCGAAGTAGACACAAAAAAAATACCAATTTATTGTTACAAACTTGGAGATAATTTAAAGTCTATTATTGGTCAGCCCATTTGTGTAAGCGCTTTCACAACTTAATACCTGTGTTTTTAAACTGTTCATTTGTATTAATGAAACATCCCATTAAAATCAGATCTTATAATTAGTAAAGTTAAGCAATACTAGCCAGGTCAGTCTGTGGATGGGTGACCATTGAGACCCCTCCGTGCCTCGGAGAACACGTTAGAGCCGTCGGTCCTGGTTGCCATACGAATATCTGTGGCAATCGTTACGACTATTTGGAGCCCTAAAAAGTTCAACAACAGTCTTTCAACAGAACTTCAATATCACCTAGTACTTGGGTTGTGGAGGTCTGATGGACTTAAATCCGACCCCAACCTAGTTTGGGATAAAGGCTAGGACGAAGAAGAAATTTTTAAGACTAAATGATTCGCTGTCACAAAATCAGTATTCCTATTCCAAATCTTAGCTTGCTTATCTAAATACTTAATTTAAACCTTAATATACCACTTCATGATTATAAAGGCCACCAAATATCTTTAAAAAACAGATTGGTTGTTTGTGCCGGTATCCCGGCATTATCTTTGTGCAATCCCCAAATCCCTGCTAAGTAAAAAATTAATCGTCAGCGGGAAAAACAGAACAACGCATTCGATGGGCCTGTTGGTCTAGTGGTTGATGACCTTGACTGCTAAACCGGAGGTCATGGGTTTTATTCGCACTCAGGACAAATTACTGTATGATGAGCACGATTTTTTTTTTTTTTGGGGTGGGGGTTAATAGTTATATAGTATTTATCTTTTTAGATATATTTTTATCAGAATTCTGGTTACAATAGCACAGGCTTTGCCGTGTGTGAGATTTGTGACGTTGTTATTATTACATAAACACGTTCACACCTCCGAGCCTTGAAAGCAGGGCTGTTAAGGAATTTCTACATGGCCTCTGTAAGATTGGATTTTCCGATTGATTGTACACCTCTATAACTTCAGTTTCCAGGATAGGAGGTATTACGAACTTCGGAATGTCCAAGCGAATGGTGTGTACGAGTTTCGAGGTGTCTTACTGCTAGTACGCGATCGAGGTTCAGCGTCTTTCAGCAGTCTGAATTGAAACTGCTTCAATAAGGTTGATGCAATTACAGCAAAGTGTAGAATTTTGGAGTATCATACGCACAAAAATTGATCATCTGCAAAGAACTTCATAAAATAAATTTCTCCATTCTGTAAATTAATTTCAATTTTATTTTCTGAGGTTTACCCTTTACCTACAGTAAACTAACATATCCCTCTTGACATTCAAATGAAAAACTCCGGTGCCGTTTGTGTTCAACTCACCTCCATAACATCTTAGAAGACTTTCTGATTCCTTTCGATAACAAGTTACTAAATTTTATCGAAATGAAATCTAACAATCATGCATGTAACTGTGAACTATTGGAGCAAGTATCTGACTATAAACTATCTCTGGGCATACTATATCGATACAATTTTTGACAAACTGAGAGCAATTTTAGCGAATTTGCAATAATAAAATATAAGACTCCTTTTAAAGTACTACTGAATTTATACATTGCCCTTGGTGAGTCAATAATTTTATATGGAATCACTAGCTACGGAAGAACCTACAAAACCAACTTAGACAAAATACACAATCTGCAGCTACGAATTCTAGAAACCATAACACCAGTGTTTGGGCAATTGCTAAAAGTCTTGATGCTTAGACATGACAAATCTATATTTATCCCAGAAAGTAACATTAAAATAATAGAAATTCATACCAGAAAGCAAGAGGAGCTTGTCCATTTTGTCAGTCGCAGGTCTCTTCTAACACCGAGCAAATCACATACTGCCCCTAACCTCAGGTCGGAGACTCAATACAGAAGTTATCATCATGTTATGTACACCAAGGTCATGGGCACGTTATCTTGTCTCTTGTTTCGTCTTGGACACAAAATACTTACACTCGGGAACACGTGTCAACTTAAAACATTTCTATCAGTTTGTCAATCTGTTACCAAGATTTAACCATAATCTCAACAACTTTTTTAACAACTTATTCAAAAACCCGCAACATTGACTACAACGCGTCAAGTAATATGCAATATGCTATATTCTTTTAACTTTCCAACCCTAGATGTACAATGTATTCTTCGTGTTTAAATGAGACCCACGTTAAGTATAACTAATGCAATAAAAAAAAAGAGTACTGAAATTAGTTAAAAAATGGTAAAGACAGAACGTAATGTGCCAATACCATCTTAAACTAGACTTAACACCGTTATATGAACAACACAGTAGCACTTTTAGGATATGGTGAATGAAATGCGCCCTTAACTCTGACAGAGCTGCTGCAATTTCTGTGTCTCGTGAATGATTCCGTACAGTTTTTAATGAGAGATTGGGAATAAAACACTGCTTGCTGCTTTACTAATGCCGTAGGTGAGAAAGAACCTGTGTCTTTTTAACTAAATCTCCACTTCACAGCATTCGTTTCGCAGTCGCTAGACGTTAAAAATGTGTATCCAAGGCAAATCAACTCCAATTAAAAGAGGTGACTATTACTTGCGTCTTCATTGAGTTTTCTGAAAATCTAGGTGGGCAACGTGTAAAGCGTACCCGAAATACACAAGTGGATAAAACCGTGTAGCCGCTTTTCTTCTCAGGCGGACTACTCACCGGCTGACCCAGTGGAGAGATTTATGAGATTACCTCAGGGCGCCTTCTAAGAGAAAAGAAGTGTGTGCGTGTGGGAAACCTACGGGATTCCTTAGAGGAAAACAACTTACACCTCAGTCATACATACATGTATATTTCAAAAAAAACAAAATTAAATTTACAATAAAAAAATAAAAAAAAATAAAAAACAGTGGGTACAAGAAAAAACCGCAGTGGAGCGCGTCAGAGCCGAGCTGATGGTGCTCGGAGCCTCCTCGTCTTCACTCCAGGAGGTCACTTCCCCTTCCGCCCGAGTCGGCTATTTATATTAGGTACCTATTGAGAAAAGTTCATAATTGGTATTTATAAATTTAAATAGAGGTACGTAGCCCTTGGGTACGGCTGTCCGCTTGCTTCGTGAGCCGCGTGATTGCCAGCTTGCCAGAGGGTACCGAGAAACTTGAATCCGAACCAGAAGGCCACAAACGAACAAGCACGCCGTCTGAGACTGACCGTCTTGACCCCGAAATCTGGGACCCTACGAATGGATTAGCACTCATATTATTGATCAGGTTCCAGAAACAAATAGGTACAAGAAAAATTAAGACCATACTCACCACTTTCGTGGGTACTTTTGAACAGATAATATATTACGAAAATCAAATCACACGACAATCAAAACACTATTTAAGATTGATAGACACGAGATAGCAGAGTGTCTCCCGTGGCTGAAAGCCGGACTTATATATCTTCGGTTTCCGAAGCTTCCAGAAACAATCCCTACTCAACACTTTACTTTGACATTTAAATTATCAACGAGGTTAACACGAACAAAATCAAAAGTAACTCGCTTCCTACCATAACAAAACACTCTTAATACCTATACAATTTGTCATGATATATATATAAAAAACTTATCTCAAACAAACGCCATCTAGTGGTCCGACGGCGAATCGAAGAACATCAATACTGTAGTTATAAACTACCTTGGATAAATCAAAAAAACAATGCGACGCGGGCAACAGGTGTCGCTTTTAACAAGTCCGTACGCATTACAAATATACTAAAAAAAACTGTTACAACCGTACATATTTGTTTTGATTGTATGCATGCTTGCAGTCTAAATCCGTGATTTGAGTTGCTTATATGAACTTCAGTAAATCCAACAAAGGCTCAAATAACAATAATGGGGCAATATGGAGATGTTTCCAGTTATAGTAACAATGTGCGTATTATTATTAAATCCAGTAGTGCTTCGATAAATGAAAGAACTTTCCTGGAACACGAGATCTGTCTATCTATCTATCTATCTATCTCTTGACTAAGTCACTGAGGTTGGACTCGTTACTTCGCTACTTAGTAACACGCCCACTTATTTTACCGACAGATAAACAAACATGCCGTTTATGTGTAAGCATGGTAATGAATGAAAAATATACTTGTATTTGACATTAAAATAAATTATCCTGAACCACGAGATAGACAGGTCTTCACTAAACCATTTGCAATAAAAATATTACTGCAGAACTCAGAGATACTTAACACACTGACAGGTAAACGTGAGTGAAGTTTATTTTAGAGTTAACGTGTAGGCATAGTCTTGTCCATTGTAGGTAATTTCTTGGATCCCAATAAGTAAAACAAATAAGGGAAACGACGTTTTCAACTTACAAGAATTTTCCCCTTGATTACGGGTAATTTGTTGTTTTCATAAAAAAATCTCATTTGATTATTATGATTATAATAAGAATTTAGGTTTTTATTGATTGGTTAAATTGTTAGTAAGGAACTAAAAACGTGTTAAATACTTAGCACACATCATTTTGATGTATTTTAAATGACAAAAGAAACAACATAAAGTGGTCAATTTGGTTTATTTCTGGTAACACAACAAAATACGAACAACTTTTAATCTCTGTGCTTTTAATTTCCTCCAATGAAAATTAATATAAAGTTATCATCAAACTTTAGTAGAACTGCGAAACAATTAAAAAACAAATTAAATTAAACAAATCTACTTTAATGTGTCTAACTTCCTCACAGTTGCAGCTTTTAGTTAATTTTTGGTTACAGGTTTTGGATAAAATCTAAAAATTTTAATACTGTAAAGTGTAAATTATAGATTGTGACTAATAAGGTAAGGTTATAAGATAAATTTATTGGCTTAATACAAACTAATAACTATTAGACCGAAATTAACTAGTAATATAAGTACTTGCTACAAGGATAAACATTCTAAGTATACAAACAAATAACAAAATATATAATTATTTGTAATTAAATAGCAGACAGGCGGGCAAACAAGGAATGAATTAAATGTAAAAAATAAAATTCTGTATATAACAATATAATTAATTTTTGTGTTGAAATATGCGACCCTTAGCGAGGCGATTAGGAAATAGGTTTTTTGGGCACTAACATTATTAGAAGATACTTATTTCTATTTTTTTTTTATTTGTGCAACATTTTTACTGCAACCAACGAGCTCTGTCGCCACGGCCAGCCTGTAATCATCTAGAGTTCACTCTACAACTTATGAAAGCCAGTGTTTAGAAGATGCACATATTTCTAGAAGAAATGCATGCATGGCTTTGATTCTTATCACATCCATGCGTGTGAATTAGTTGCAGCCTTATCAGAGATTATTATTATTCATAAATAATAATATAATGTCTGTCATGCTTCAGCACACATGGGCTGGCTCAACCGTAGTGATACCGGGGCCTCCCATCTCTTGGGACGTGTCGGTTTCCTCGTCCCTGGAGCGTCCGCGTTTCCGGCTGTCGCATCGCTCCGCTTCCATGGCCTCCGCGCCATCCGACGAAACGGCGGATCTGGAACGCAGACGTTCCGAAGTTCTTCGGCTGACTTAGACTGACTTCTGGGAGCCGCTCGGTGATAGACGTCACGAGCAACAATTGCTCCTCGTTTGACGAGGAGTTATCCGCCCTTCCACTCTTCTCCTTCCTTCCCTTCGTTTCCTTGTCCGTTTGACTTGCCTTTTTTTGTTGTTGTTGGTTTTCCGATCGTTTCTTTATATTTTTAACATTGTCCATAATAAATCCCACGGGTGGGGGAGAACTAAAGGTCCACCCGGGCAGAGATCCCCCATTACCCGGCAAGCGTAAGTTTTTAACCCAACCGAGGGGTCCGCAGGTACCTCGGCTTGGAGTGCGCTCGAGACTGAACTTCCCATCAGTCATGCATCCCCTGGCCACGCACCAGAAAAATTAAAAAAAAAATTTTTTTAAAATTTAAAAATTTTTTTTTTAAAACCCCTTTTTGGGGGGGGGTTTTTTTAAAAAGGGGGGGTTTTTTCCCTTTTTTTTTTTTTTTAAAAATTTTTGGGGGGGTTTTTAAAGGGGGCCCCCCCTTTTTTTTTTGGGGGGGGGCCAAATTTTTAAAAAAAAAAAATTTTTTTAAAAAAAATTTTTAAAAATTTTTTTTTAAAAAAAAAAAAAAAAAAAATTTTTTTTTTTTAAAAAAAAATTTTTCCCCCCCCTTTTGGGGCCCCCCCTTTTTGGGGGTTTTTTTTTTTCCCCCCTTTTTTTTTTAAAAAAACCCCCCCCCCCAAAAGGGGTTTGGGGGGGGCCCCGGGGCTTGGGGGGAAATTTCCCGGGGGGGTTTAAAAATTTTTGGGGAAAATTTTTTTTTTTGGGGGGTTTTTTTTCCCCCCCCCCTTTTTTTTTTTTGGGGGGGGGTTTTTTTGGGGCCCCCCCAAAAAAACCCCCTTTCCCCGGGGGGGGCCCCCCCCCCGGGGGCCCCCCCCCCCCAAAAAAAAAACCCCCCCGGGGGCCCTTTTTTTAAAAGGAACCCCCCCCCCCCCCTTTCCCCGGGGGGGGTTTTTTAAAGGGGGTTTTGGGGGTTTTTGGGTTTTTCCCCCCCCCCAAAACCCCCCCCCCCCCGGGTGGCCCGGGGGGGCCCCCCCTTTTTTCCCCCCCCCCCCGGGAAAACCCCCCAAAAAAAGGGGGGTTTCCCCCCCCCCCCCCCCGGGACGGGAAAATTTTTGGGCCCTAAAAGGGCCCCCAAATTTTTTCCCCCCGGGGCCCCCTTCCTTTTGGGGGGGGGGCCCCCCCCCCAACCGGGCCCCCCAAAAAAAATTTTTTGAAAACCCCCCCCTTTTTTTTTTAAAAATTTTTTTTTTTTTA